AAGCCATGTACCGCAACATTCGAGTACAGAAGTTAAGACTGTCTTAGATCCAAGTCAGGACATCTCTATACTAATAGCCAAGTCGGCCAGATCTCTGGATACTTAAATCTGGTGACTGCTATAAATGAGCAAGACAGATCTTTTAACAAACCTGAAAAGAGCCCCAGCTTTGCAGAAAAATTTGAAATCTAACCCCCCCAAATTGTTTTTTTAAAAAAACCCTGAAAATGATTTTAAAAACCTCCTGTAGCTTTAAGCAATGAATTTCCTCAGTGGCTGTTGCTAGGCAACCACAGTATTCCAGGCTTGTTTTTGTCATTAAAAGGTAGTGGGAGGGGTCAGTGCCTTTTCCAGGCATATTTTGGCCTTTGAGGGAGGACTTCTTGGGACTGGACCTGGTTAGGGTTGCCAGCTCCAGGCTGGGAAATTCCTGGAGATTTTGAGGGTGGAGACTGGGGAGGGAGAGGCCTTCAATGGATATAGTGCCAGAGAGTCCACCCTCCAAAACAGGTGTTTTCTCCAGAGAGACAGATCTCTCCTCTGATAGACTTGTAATTCTGGGAGTTCTCCAGGTCCCTCCTGGAGATGGTCAGCCCTAGGCCTGGTAGCGACCTCAGGGTAGCTTGATACCACCTGACCTGCATGTCTCAACTAGGCCTGACTGCTTGCTGCTGTTCAACAGCAGCCACCCTATGAAAGCCAGTGTTGTATAGCGGTTAGAGCTTGCTAGGGTCTGGGAGAGCCAGGTTCGAATCCCCATTTTGCTGTAGAAGCTCACTGGGTGTTTTTCGACTAGTCACATACTTTCAGCCTAATCTACCTCACAGGGTTGTTGTGGAGATAAAAAGGAGGAGAGGAGAATAATGCAAGCTGCTTTGGCCCGCGCTGTGGATGAAGGTGGGGTATAAGTGAAGTAAATAAATAATATAGCTGAAGATGGGAGGCAGATAAATGGTATGTAGGTGAATGGCTAAGAAGAAGAGAATGAAACAAGAAAAGGGGAGAGGATATGGGGTACTGGGGGAGGGAACGAGGCAA